GGCTGGGTGTTGTACTCGTTTTTTTTTCGCAGGGATTCCGCACAGGAAGCCGAGGAAGATTTGAAGACTGCTCTGTCGCAGACACAAAAGAAAACAACCGCCGCCAAAAAGGAGGGGAAGCGAAAGGACCAGGGGTCGTCCAGGAGGAAGCCCCCAGCGCGCAGGAGCTGCCCAGAACCCTCGCCGCCGCAGTCCCCAGAATCCAAGGATGCACAGGGTGAGGAAGATGAGGAGCAGGATTCCTCAGACTTGGACAAGGATGTCTTTGCTGCCCAGTTCAAAAGGAAGACATCCTTTGATGCAGCAGGGTCAGGTCTCAACAAGAAGCACCAGACGCTGGCGGAGAGGCTGACCCCGCAGTTGATGCAGGCCATCCCGGAGCAGTTGCCGGAGCCACGTGGCTTCACATGACTGCAGCACGAAAGTGTCTTGTTTGGTAATGTCTTTGCATTAGCCTGCATTCCAGGATCGATCGTGGGCATTGGCTTCGCATTTTGTCGACGGAGGAAATCCTGTCTGTTCGCTCGGCAAAAGAGGTTTGGGAAGAGAACGAAGGACTGGAGTTCCGGTACCCTGCCCTAAGCCCTAAGCCCCAAACCCAAAACCCTAAACCTAAACCCTCAAGCCTGAACCCTAAACCCTAAACCCCTAAACCCCTAAACCCCTCAACCCCTAAACACCTAAACCCCTAAACCCCTAAACCCCTAAAACCCTAAACCCCTAAACTCCTAAACCCCTAAACCCCTAAACCCCTAAACCCCTCCTAACGCCTAACCCTAAACCCGAAGCCCTAAGCCTTAAACTCTAAACCGTGCAGGAGTCGATCGGCTTCTGTCCCAGCCCTCGCAAGCCTTATTTGCCAAGATGACTGCCAAGGGCAAGAAGCTCTTTTGCAAGTGGGGTGACAGCCTTTCTTGTTTGCAGGCCTTGTGTGTGTGTGCTCGCAAGCCACATCTCATGTTAGTAGTTTGCTTTCAAAAGAAAGGCTTTTGTGAACCCATCTTTCTCTTACAGGACGAGGAGGAGGAAGATGATCCCGAGAATGCAGGTGATGAAGATTCCGGTAACGCCACTCCTCCCAGGGCCCCCAAGAAGCCGAAGGCCAATGTGTATGAGGGGGTCAGATACAATGAAGAAAAGGTAGCAAATAAACAAGAAACCCAAAATGTCATCCTCTCACATATTTTTTTTGTGCTGCAGGTGGAAACTTCGCGATATGAGTCCCCGACGCCGGCCCGACGCCGATTGTTCGACGATGATTAGGCTCACTTCCTGTGACCTAGATGTGACACGTGCAGCTTCTGGGGAAAGCAAAACCAAGCACTGCTTGCATCTGAGATGTTTTGCCTGTCTGAAAACTCCTTTGTTTCGAGCTCATGCTTGTTGCGCACTCTACCTGTCCAGGTTTGTTTTGGGGCTCGAGAGAACAATTCGTCAGCAAGAAGCCTCAACCCAAACCCTAAACTCATATTTCTTTAACCAAAATCCGGAAACCTAAACACTAAGCCCAAATCTATCCGCGCCTGAATAGTGCAAGTTTCAGCATTGCCATAACGTAGCCCTCTTGATCCTTCTTTTCAGGACTACGGGCAGGGTTTAGGTTTGGGGTTCAGGGTTATCATAGTCGGAGTTGCCTCTTCCAGGATCGCTATTCTTCGAGCAGACAACCAGCAGGCAGTGCTCCAGGCTCCAGGCTCCTGGGCTGGGGGGTGAGGAGAGGGGCTTTAGTTTGGGCGGTCCTCTTTAGGGTGTAGGGGTTAAGGTTTCGAGTTATGGCAGGTTTAGGCCTCAGGGTTTAGGGTTTAGGGTAGAGGGTTTTCGGGGGCTCCTGGTGGGATTCCTGGTCTTGTAGTACAGATAGAAGGCATTTGGCTTTTCCGGGCATTTTGGGGGGATGCAGCGTGCTGTCCGGAACACTGAACAGGAGGCAACGTGCTGCCTGGTACATTACAGCCATACTGCGTGCTGCTTGCTTCACCCGTGCTGCTAGCTGCAGCCACCGTGCTGCATGAGTGTCGCACCGGCGCGCACGTGTCGGTACGTGTGCAGCGTTCGCACGCTCATGCGGCAACGTATTTTGCAGGTGGAAACGTGTGGGTGTTTAGACCCTTGCGGCTCGAGAGGTCCTCTGCAAAACGCCGTGCTGCCTCGTTTTCGTTAGTTTTGCCAAACCGCGTTCCACCTCGTTTTTTTTTCCCCCTCTCGTGGCAGCGCGTGTGCGCCAGCACGCACTTCCCCGCGCGGGGCGGCAACGTGTTTTGCCTGCAGCAAACCAACCCTGGGAGGCGGCAACGTGAGCACAACATGAACGAGGAGGACTGGCTGAATCACAGGTTGCAAGAGCTGGCAGAGTCGCAGCCTCAGGTCCTGCGCAAAACACCGTGCTGCCTCCAGACACCGTGCTGTCTCGTTTTGCCTTGCTTAATACAAGACCAGGCTTTTGTTTTGGCTTCGGGTTTAGGGCGTAGGGTTTAAGCTTCGGGGTTTAGGAGGGTTTCGGCTGAACTTTCTGAGGTGTGACGAAGGACAACCTCGCACCGACATGGCAGCCAGGATTGCCAGAAAGTTGGGCATGGTGGATAGCAACCTGAAAGAGGGCTTGGTCCTGGAAAGTATGAGTACTGGTCTGACTGGTTTGGGATGGGAGGCCAGGGTGTTGAAAGTTTAGCGTTTAGGGTTTAGGGCTTAGGGTTTATAGGGTTTATAGGGTTTATAGGGTTTATAGGGTTTATAGGGTTTATAGGGTTTATAGGGTTTATAGGGTTTATAGGGTTTATAGGGGGTAGGGTTTAGGGTATATAGGGTTTATAGGGTTTATAGGGTTTATAGGGTTTTGGGTTTAGGGTTTGGGGTTTAGGGTTTAGGGTTTAGGGTTTAGGGTTAGGGTTTAGGGTTTAGGGTTTAGGGTTTAGGGTTTAGGGTTTAGGGTTTAGGGTTTAGGGTTTAGGGTTTAGGGTTTAGGGTTTAGGGTTTAGGGTTTAGGGTTTAGGGTTTAGGGTTTAGGGTTTACCCAAGACCCACTTATCCTGCAAGGCAATCTTGGATGCTCGCAGATCAGATGCTGCACGTCTGGGATTGTTCATCAGGCCTCCTGTCTTTTTGCAAACTTCACAGCCACCTCCTCCCGTCGAGCCGACCACTCCTCCCAGCTCCTCTTCAACCTCTTCCCCGGATACGAAATCCTTTGAGAAGACTGATACGCTTTTCCTTAAGATCACCGGATCCACGCGCGGGGTCTTTCAGGTTCATCGCGTCGCTTGGTGAAATTGTTCAATAGCACAGGCATGCTGTCTCGCTGCTGTTGTTCTTGCCACAGCAAGTTATCTCAGTTGCCGCAAGAGAACACCGCAGAAGGGTATCGGCACTTATTCAGATCGGAAGAGATATGGGCACTTGGAAAGAGGAATCAGAAATTCTACAATTGGTTTTGCAAATTGAAACCCAGACTGCATTACAGTGTTGCTGGCTTTGCTCATGGGGATACGTAGATATTGTAAACCGAGGAGTGAAACACAGTCCTTGGATGTTGCTCGAACATGGCGGGTGGACATTTCCACTCACATCTTGCGGAAAGCAGACTACAAGGGTGGTAAGGTCAGGGAAGGTGGCTTCAAGCTGGCATTCAATGCCATGACTATGCCTGGCATTCTGTTCACTGCACTTCAGCTAAAACCCTAAGCCCTTAACCCTAAACCCGAAACTTTGAACCCTAAGCCCTAAACCCTAAACCCCAAACCCTTGACCCTTAACTCTAAACCTTAAACCCCACAGGCAGCCAGTGGACTTCAGGTCCGAGGATGCAAGGCCGAGTTACAGAAAGCCTCCTTGGATACGATGGATGCTGTTCTTCGTGTTGCCCTTCCTCCCGATTTCCAAGTGCAGCTCCTACCTCATGTCTCTGAATGCACCAAGGCAGAATCTACCTTTGTGAGTCTCATGTCAATCTAATTCCTAAGCCCTAAGCCCTAAGCCCTAAGCCCTAAGCCCTAAACCCTAAACCCTAAACCCTAAACCCTAAACCCTAAACCCTAAACCCTAAACCCTAAACCCTACTCATCCTAGGCTGTCTGCATGTTGAAGGAGGGCAAGTGGATCTGGAATCTTGGAAAGAGGCATTGGCCTACATGGACCTGACGCAGAGGCTATCCTGGTTCAGGTAGATGACATGGAAAGGGATTCCGAACGCTCGCCCTATGACAGGTGGAGAACATGCAAGATGCTACAGCCCGCGCAGCAGCAGCTCAACACAGGCTGCCCAAACCCAAAACTCGTGAAATCGACTCAACCAGAAACCCGAAACCCTACATAAACCCTCTAGGCATCAATGCTACGCTGGCAGTTTGGTTTCTCCTACGTGCTCCCTTTGCGTGCGAAATGCAGGACTCCTGGAAATTGGGGTTTAGTGGGGTTTAGGGTTACGGTTATTTGGGCCATTTGCATAAAACATTTCAGGACGGTGTTCGATATGGAAGGATGCAGAAGAGATTGCTGCACACAATCGCTCAGATAGCAGAACAACATGTTCAGCGGCATCTCACTGAGACGCTCCCTTTGCCCGAAAAGGGAGAGACGTTCCACCCAGCCACTAAGTCCCGCAGCTGCAAGCCAGGTTGCGTGAATTCTGAGCACGTCAGTACCGTAGCAATGCTTGCCTGTCAGGGATGGAAGGCATCTCAGATTGCAGGCGAAACCTCGCGAAATGATGGCCATGGACCGGTTTCTGTCGAGAGGAGGTGGTTTCTGTAGCAAGGACAAGGACAGCACACTGGCCGAACTGGGCTTGGAATGCTTCGGGCCTGGACATCACTTCAGGCCAGTTTTTTTGTCCACTTCCTAACCGTGCACTCTTGGCGTGTTTGTCAATTGGGAGGCTCAGCTGTGACTTTGTGTACCGCTACTTGAACAAAGCAGCCTTTACTTTACGCGAGGCTCGCAAAACCCGACAGAAGTATGTGCCGAAGCCCTAATAACCCTTTGCCTCTTCCTTGTTTTCGCAGGAAATGATGAACCTCGCAGCCCCGAGCGTCAGCATCATGTGTGATGCTAGTCCAAAGGCAAAAATGGATGCCAGAGTCTCAGAAGAAAGACATTTAGGGTTTAGGGTTTAGGGTTTAGGGTTTAGGGTTTAGGGTTTAGGTTTAGGTTTAGGGTTTAGGGTTTAGGGTTTAGGGTTTAGGGTTTAGGGTTTAGGGTTTAGGGTTTAGGGTTTAGGGTTTAGGGTTTAGGGTTTAGGGTTTAGGGTTTAGGGTTTAGGGTTTAGGGTTTAGGGTTTAGGGTTTAGGGTTTAGGGTTTAGGGTTTAGGGTTTAGGGTTTAGGGTTTAGGGTTTAGGGTTTAGGGTTAGGGTTTAGGGTTTAGGGTTAATCAGTTTCGCATCGTGCGCAGCCTAGGTCTGGGTTCCAATCGTTTCGGTCAAGGAGCATGTTGCAGTCTTGGCCCTGCAGCGAATGGCCGATATCCTGTGCTCTTCTGCCAGCGCTTCCGACAAGGCAGAAGCAGGGATGAAGCAAGGCAACGTGCTAGTGGACATGCGGGCTGATGACAAGAAGGGCGAGAACCGTGCCAAGATGCAACCCGAATGATTAAGAAGCGTCATTTCAGACATCCCATGACTTGCTAAGTTTAGCAGCCCAGGCCAAAGACTCTCAAGAACATACGAGAGGAACGGCTGGCATCCAAGGAGCAAATGAAAGCTGTGAACCATGTTTTGCAGCAACTCCAGATTGATCTGGACAACTTCATCCCGCAAGCACCGCTGAGACCTGTGAATCCTGAAACCGAAGAAAGAAGGTACCACCAGGAAAAGGGTGGGTCTGTCATTCCTTATGTTGTGAATCGAATTTCAGGCGAGGCAACATGGGACAGACCTGTGCTTGAAGGCAAAGACGGCCACCTCAGGCTGTCCTTGTGCCCGGATGAAGGGTCGCCGCTGTATACAGTTTTCCAGTACCTGAGCTTGAACGATGTGTGCGTGATGCTGAATCGTGATTCCTTGCAACTCGTCCTGCAAAAGGCTGTAAGATCATGTCTTGTTTTTCTATGAGATGGGGGAGGTTTGATGATTTTTCTTGCTCGATTCAGGCACAAGATACATGCGCACATGAAGCGAGCACTGGCGTGTAATGCCAACATCAAACGCCGCACTGCTGCACCCATCACTGTTTGCAATTCCCCTAAATGACCTGCAGACAAAGGTGCCGTGATGTTGACATCCTGGCTCTTCAGATCAAAGAAAAGTCCTTGGGGAACTGGCGCTGTAGGTCGAAACTGGAGTGAAGCCGGACGCCGCTACTTAGACATAGCCAGAGCCTTGATGTTCAACTCAATTCCCTATGTTCAACCGAGACCCCCCACACACACAGACTAAAGGCCCAGCCGGGGGACACAATGCAAGAGATGTTCGGTGCTGCCATTTTGCAAGAGAACCTCGGATGTTTGACCCTAAACCCTAAAGCCCAAACCCCTAAAACCCTAAACCCTTAACCATAAACCCTGAACCCTAAACCCTGAACCCTAAACCCTAGACCCTAGACCCAAGACCCTGAACCCTAAACCCTAAACCCTAACTGTCTCTTCTTTCAGTGACACTAAGGAACGGCTTCGAGCATTCGCCCGATGCCAAAGTGAACTTTGATCGTGTGGTCTCTGTGATTGGCAAGCTTTGCAGGCCTGGTACCGTTTCGCATAAACAAATCAAGCAATCAGTCGTAGGTACAACAGTGAATCCTACAGCTGGAGCCGCTGGTGTTCTTGGGCATTTTCCAGTGATGGATTCCAGTACTCTGCAACGCTGCTGCTGTTGGTGTGGGGTGGCCTCGAGGCTCCTAAACCGCAACCCGCCCCCCGCTCACACTCCTTCCAAGCCAGGAAACCTTCAACTGGAAACAAGCAAGCAAACAAAGCTCGTGTAAGGCAGGCTTCAACCCGTTCGAGCCCGCGTCGAGACCGGCAGGGTCATCAAGCAGCAGCGGCCATTTCGAGCAAATCGTGGACAGATGCTCCAAGGACTGAAAATGTTTGTTCCTGGAGGCACTTTAGAATTATTATTAGAGCACTGAAGACACGAAGGCACTTCTTGACTCCGACGTGCACGCAATGTTTCGCTTCCTACGCAGAATTGTCCAGCCCTTCCGAGTCATGTGTTTGGATGGGGAACTCCTGCTGCATTATCGGGATTCTCGTTGCACGCAGTGTTCAGAGAGTCTGAGACCGCTATCCTGAAGCCTGTGTGTGTGAACTAAGCAACGCCACATGAGCCAGCTCAAGTCCATCCACACGCATTGCAAGTGGATCCATGATGGTGGCTTCGATAGCCTCCTGAACAACACTGCCAAAGAAGCCCTCTGTTTCCAGACCCTGAAAGACCTGGGCTTGCCTGTGGACGTCAACGAACCGAATGCATCCGGAGAATCCCGACTTGATTCATTGTTGCGGGTGTGCAGTTATTGTTTTGGGTTTAGTTTGTAGGGTTTAGGGTTAGCATGGTGCCGGAATATATCAATTCCTGCAGCTCTGCTGGCTAAAGACACCCCGTGAGCACCCGCCCTTTCGCTGCTATGACTTACGAGTATCAGCTTCAGAAACGGCAGCTGGTCCTGGACGCCTTGAAAAAGGATCCGAGATACTCGCAGGCAATGCGATTCAAGGAGGAGGGTAAAGCCGATCTATCCGAGTCCCCACCCTCGACGCCGTGCATCGAAGGGTCGAAGAGACCGTGGGAAGCCCGTTTCGCGAAGTTCAAGGACAAGATCAGGAGGTGGGCTGCCGCTTGGCAGGAGATACAGAGTGACCGAACAGCGAGGTGAGTCCCTCCATTTTCACCAGCAGATTCGTGTGCCAACTGTCCAGTTGGTGCACACAAAGTTCTTGGCTGAGATGGTATTCCATCTCTTTGGCAAACCCCCACATGGAGGTTGGTATGTCGAATCATTCCCCCCCCCCCCCCCCCCGAAAAAAATAGTAAACTGTTTCCAGTCCGACATCAGAGGGGTTCAAAATTCGAAATTAGCTTGCACCACTTTGAAAGAAGCCTCATGACTCTTGATGCGAAAAAAAAAGCCATGGACTGTTGCAACTGGCTGTGTTGTAAGAAAGCTATTTGATATGAAGAAGCGAAAAAATGGGATAAGCTACTACTGAGGTGCTAGAGCTGATCATGCAGAGACCTGAATCCGACTACGCCCTGCTCAATTCCTGCATCGACGCATTCCTCGCTGAGTGTTATGAGCTACGACTCTACGCACTTCAGTTGGAAAGTGCCCCGAATGCTTTTTCGGGGTTGGGCGCGCCGGGTTTGTCGAAAACAACGAAGGAGAGCTTGGAAAGCAGGCTCTTGAGGGAATGGGAGGTTGTTCTTCAAATGGAGGCAACAAAGGAAAGTGCACAGGTGTTGAAGATGTTGTGCCCGCACACGCAGAGGCAGTGCTACCGAGAACTCTGCATTGCCTTGGAGCTATGCAGGAACCCAGGCGAAAGATGGCACCAGGATTTGCAGTCGCTGATTTCAGCATACTTCCCGGATGTGGGCAACTCCGCGAATGTGGAACAGATCTTCGCCCAGCTTCAAGATGCAGTCAATCGAAGCTGCAAACCTGATGTTGGCTCTATGAGTAATCTCATGGCGGTGTGCGTTCGTGCCATGCAGAACCGAGTCTGCAACCAATCGGATTGCACGCCGGTGACTCTGGCAACACAAGATTGGGAAGGAAAGGCCACTCGGGCCCTCAAGCCCAAGATTTGGAGTCCAGCCTTCGCAAGTCCCAGCAACCCGCCTTGCTTTAAGTCCTGAGATCAACAGTATCACTGAAGCCAAAGCCGATTGATTTTTTTCCTGCTGCCAAGGCTCCAAGATCTCTTACGATGGCATCATCAAATCGTTTCAGAGCACGACAGCTTTCCACCACAACAAACAAGAACTGAATTGCATGAAGGGCTTGGTGCTTGCAAAGAAGTTCTTTGTTTGCACCAAACAAGCCATACTAAGTGTAATTTTGAGACAATGACATGAAAACGGTGTACCTGTAAACCATTCTTGCAGCCAAGGATGGGTATGAGCCCTCTGGAAGCACAGAAAAGCTTCTGGGTGCCCTCGCTGTGCAAGCGAGGCATGCTGCTGAGCACTGGTGGGAAGTTTTACTTGTGCTCCGGATCCAACCCTGCTGTGTCCTACGTGACTTGGTTCGAAGGGTTTTTAAACCAGAGTGCCAAGGGTAGGAAGGAGCTCGCACATGCTTGCTCGCCCCGCAAAACCATATACCCCTAACCTTAGAAACCCAACCCGAACTAAACCCTACACCCTACACCCTAAACCCTAAACCCTAAACCCTAAACCCTAAACCCTAAACCCTAAACCCTAAACCCTAAGGGTGGGGTGGGTGGGGGTGTTTTCTTCTGTGCAAGTGAGGTGCTCCGGCTGCAGGAGTTCGGATGTTTTTTCAAAGGCCCGGCCCCCGCTCGTGAACATGATGAGAGATGCATCCTCAAGGCCGGTACGAAGATAAGATGGCAAGACCCGATGCCAAATCCTGAAGATGTCTCTGCCGCACTGGTGCTGCAAGCCTCGACGACTCGTGAATGAAATTCCCGCGAGTTAAAATGGTCACATGGATTTGGAAGATGCCGTCATATTCAGTGTTGTGCTGCATAACCCGAGGAATGTCTTCGATTGCATACTCCTCCAGTACTCTGAGGCTTTTGGTTCTTGTGCAATCCGAAAACTTAAGCAGCATGTCTTCGTGGATTGTGCGGGTGTCAGGTGAAAGTGTTCGAGTACTCGATTCATTGCCTGAAAGGCAAGATGTATGAAAAAATGGGCACAGGCCTCGTGTTGCGACGAAGCCAAAAATCGTGGACATTGCTGTCGTATCTGGTGCATCAGAATACTCTCCACACGGCAACGTGCAGCACTCTCGATGAATTGCTGGCGATGAACGACATCAGAATGGGCAAGAGTGCAAACAAAGCATGCAGAATCCGAAAGCTTCTGACAGTGCTAGAAGTTACTTCCGGGTGCTCGGAAGCCGAAATTCAGGCTGTGGAGGACCTGCTACAAGTGCAGGAAGAAAAAAGGAAGAGAAAAAAGGACGCCGCAGCTGCCCAGGATGAAGCAGAGGAGGATGAGGAGGCCCTGAAGACATTTAGGGAATCAGTTTTTGCTTCTTGCTGTGTTCACTGCTAAGCTATGCTCAGGCCGATGTCTGGCAGGAGCTGATGGAGAACGAAGCTGCTGTGGCCTGTCAAGAGTTGCTCAATAGATTGGACGTCGAGGAAGAGGCAAAGAGAGCATGCATGTGTTCTTGTCTTGCGCACCTATTGAATGGCATTGGCAGTGCTTCTTTTAGGAAAATGTATTTCAGGAGGAGGCCAAGCAAGCCCACAGCCGACCAGCAGCAAGCAATGAGCCCGAGCAAGCGGCAGAGCAGGACACAGCTCCAGAGGTTCTGGTGGCTGATAGCGAAGGTGAAGAAAAAAACGAAGAAGATGAGAGAAGAACCAGAGCAAGCCGGAGCACGTTGTGGAGGGCATCACCGGTGCCATCGTGGCTGATTGAGAAGTTCGAGATCCCTGAGCTCTGTTCCCTGACCCACACGCTACACCGCGACTCAACCCTTCCGCACTTCCAAGGAAAGCTCCCAGCAGGCATGTCCTTCCAGGGCAAGTGCCTTCGAGATAATAATGTTCTTCCACTTCAGTTGAGTGATGAGAGAGAGAGAGGGAGAAAGAAAGGCACAGAAACAGAGCAAGAGAGAAAGAGAAGGAGAGTTTGAGTGTGTGTGTGTTGCTGTTTTTCGGATTTGGGGAATCCAAGGAACAGCTGCTCGTGCAGCTACAACCCATCTATTGATGAGAAGATGCTCGATGAAAGCAAATGTGATCCCAAGAGCCTTTCCGCATCCAAGAGATCGAAGGCTCAAGCCTTCTTCATGGTGTACAACTTTTTGTGCAAGGGGATAGCACAGACATCCTCGAAGAGGAGACGCCTGGGGTAGAAGATGTCCTCTCAGCAACCTACAGAAGTGCTCTGCAAATATGCAAAGCAAAGCATTGGTAGGCAACATCAATGAGTACCTGTGGGATGAGAGGGTTTCGACTGGGGTTCGCCAACCTAATATGGTTTTGCGATACAACGAAGCACATCGACATCTTGGGGTGAGAGAGAAAATGATGCTATCGTGCGATCATGTCGCCAGCTCCCGGCCAGCGAGGCAGCAAGCAGTTTGGGAGGCAGACGGGTTTGTGAGGCAGATTGGCTAGGGGCACCCTTGATTTAGGGGATAGTGTATCCTATAGTTTATAAACAACGATATAAGGGTTTAGGGTTTAGGGTTTTGTTTGGAAGGGTTTTGGGCGTACAAGGGCTTACTTTGTTCGTCATGAAGACAGCCAGATTTGCAAGCTATGTTCAAACAGAGCAGTTTGAGTTATAGGGTTTGTCAGTTTAGGGTATAGAGTGTATAGTTTATAAGGGTTTAGGGCTAACCTCTAATTATATAAGGGTTATAGAGGTTTAGGCTTCACAAGGGTTTATAAAAAAGGTTAAGGGCTTATAGTTTAGGGCTTACTTGCCACACCCTGGGAGCAGCCTCCTCATCCAGCTTCTTGTCCGTCACGTCCACAGCCTGCGTCGAGATTTGTAAGTCATGTTCACACAGAGCGGTTTGAAACATTCTAGGGTTTATAAGTTTTAAGGTACAGGGTGTATGCTTTAGGTTTATAGGGGTTAATTAGGGTTTAGGGCTTAGGGTTCAAGATTTTGGGTTTACTTGCCATACCCTGGGAGCAGCCTCCTCATCCAGCGTCTCAGCGGGCTGATCATTCTTCGTCACGTCCACAGCCTGCGTCGAGATTTGTATGTCATGTTAAAGCAGACCAGTTTGAGCCATTTGAGGGTTTAGAAGTTTAGAAGGTACAGAGTGTGAGTTTATAGGGGTTTAGGGTTCAGGCCTTAAAAGGGTTTGCCATACCCTGGGAGCAGCCTCCTCATCCAGAGCCGGCTGATCATTGGTCGTCACGTCCACAGCCTGCATGGGTCCAGTTGTTTTTTCGCGTTTTTTTTTCTGGTTGTTTTTTCGTGTTTTTCATGGTCTTGGGTTTAGGGTTTAGGGTTTAGGGTTTAGGGTTTGGGGTTTAGGTTTCAGGGTTCAGGGTTCAGGGTTTAGGGTTTAGGGTTTAGGGTTTAGGGTTTAGGCTTTAGGGTTCACCTGAAAC